GTGAAGAACTAGAGCCTCCTTCCGAAAGTAAGTGAACTTTAAACATAACTTTCACTTCTCTCCACATTTTCGCTGTATCTATTCAACGAAAACTCATAGAAAATCGGAGATGTCTCATTTTGAAAATTGAATGAGTTATTGACTAGAATGTCTAGAAAGTATTTTGGCTTTTGCTGTAGTTATCTAGGTTTGCGGGAAACCCAAGATACTGGGTGTTAACGGGAATTTTCTCGTGAAAAACGCAAAGATCTCGTCAATTTGTTTCATTTGACACTGAATGAAGGTTCTACAAGAGGCATAAGGGTCCTTTTCGACGCTATACAAAAAGGGTTTTTCTGTTGAGGAAACCGCTTTTTCCGGTGGCAAAGTATTTTGAGCGTATCTTGTTTTCTAACAAGAACAGAGATCTGCGGTTTTCTCTATCGGAATCAGCTTGCACAATTGCATCAGAAAATGCGAATCTCTTCGCTGGCGGACAATATCGGTGCAATGGTCGTAGGTATTAAATGTATTTATTCAAAGTATTTGCTTGAAAACAAGAAGATTTCGTTTGCTTGATTCAACGAAATAGTCTTCTTCTTTTTGTGCAATTGACCGTAAGAGAAGGTGCACTGGAAAAGAAAAGAGAAAGAAGGACAGAGTAGAACACAGGAAAGCATGCTGCTATTCTTTAGTTGTAGCTAAATAGTATTGTATTATCACTATGTGGATGCCACTTTTGGCTATTGGTACTGCACATTCATTTGTCGGACTAATTCTGGGTAAGTAAGTTGATCTATAACAGTAGGTTAGTGCTGACCTTTTCCATTTTCTTTAGGCTGGATCGGCTTTTCTTCGCCACACTGGCATGGCTATAACAGTACAAATGGAACACATCATCAGTATTACGGTCTCTGGAAATACTGTCAAGCTGATCGGAACTCGCCGGCTGTCTGTCACACGTGGCCTGCTGCATCTAAGCTGTTGTTTAATACGAGCGATTTTACAAACAGAGCACTAATTAAAACGTATGGACATCGGCCTCAATGGGTGAGAACAGCTGATGGCCTGGTTACAACAGGGATGGTTCTACACTCATTCGCTGTTATTCTAGGTGCACTTGGCCATTGCATAGGGGTGTTGACATATGGCGCAGCTCTGCTTTCATTTCTCTCTTTTCTGATGTTAGTTATTGCACTTCCGATCTTCGCCGCTGACGCTAATCGTCAGTCGAAACATAGTGGTGCCGAACAGTATGTTCAGGAGTATGGTTATTATATGTGTATTTCAACGATGATTCTATCGTACTTTGCATCTTTGGTGAAGTCACTAGCGGCACTTTATCGTCAGATATCTAAAAAACGTAAGAAGAATGCTCAAAATGGTCAAAATGCTCAAAATGGACGCGGTGGTAAGACACCACAACAGCCAGTAACTCAAAATGGACGCGGTGGTAAAACACCACAACAGCCAGTAGCTGGGAGGAATAATAACTCCTCTATTCGTGCAATGATGACTCAACGCAGGACTTATAGTGTACCGGCAGCACCTCGCCCTGCGTATTTACGATAACAGCTGCACTATCAATTAGTAGGCTTATGTGCTTCATTGAAGAGCACTGATTTCTTTTTTTAACTTTACCGTGACTAAAATGTTTTTTCGTGAACGAAAGAGAGTGTAAGCGCGTCAAACAATCTTTTAGTTAACAAAGTTATTGAATGCATACTTCTCCCTTGATGTGTTTTTTGAAGCATACTGCAAGAGATGGAGGATCTAGATTTGTCATCTCAGTTCTGCCGATGTTTCTCGTGTAGCAGAGATAGGCAAGTCAAGTCGTGGCATTTTCTGACTTGACTTGCCGCCGAAAAATGTCACTCATTACTTGGTTTGAAGACTTGCCAGAACGACTAGACTTGAATTGAGTTGGTAAGAAAAAAATCCAACAATGACTTGACTTGACTTGAATGCGCTCAAATTATCAAGTCAAATTCATTTTCCGAAATTTCATGTAAAATTAAATCAAATCGTAACTCATTTGACTCAGCAGAAGTAGCTCTCGTGTCATGTAAAAGAGTTAGCTCCTTAAACTTTTCAAAGACTCTCGTTTTAGTCTAGAAGAAGTTCTGCCTTAGAGTACTGCTATAGTTACTGTTATCTATATTACCCAAGCAAGAGTCGCACACAATTAGAACTTTTAAACTTGAACGTATGCATATTTGTCGACTTTATTTACAAAGCGAAATCAAGTAGAAGCTATACATGTTAAGCGGAGTCTAGCTGATCTGTTTTCATGGCTGCGTAGTAAATAAAAAACACAAAATCTCTGTTAATTGTTTAGTATATATCAACTGAAGATCGTTTTGTCTGAAGCTGTAAATGAACATTATCACAGTAACAATTCTTACAGCTCTGAAAAGGACGGAGTCAATACGAGGTAAAATCAGCCATCTCTCAGATTAATCTCACATTCACAGATCTGATGTAGTTTTCCTCTGTGAAATTTTGTTATGGAAAAGGAAAGATGACCATTACATAAGTTTCTGGAAATCTTTTTCATAGGTATTGAGATAAACCCCTAAAAGCCAGAAAAGAGAAAATTTCACTTTTTCACCACTTTTAAGAGCTTGATGGCTATGTGATCTAAAAAAGTGGCTTTTTCTGTGTTATTTTAATGGCTTAAACGCTATCAAGCGAACCTTCTTATAACAGCCATGCGCATCCTCCGACTTTAAGTATTACGGTATTTTAGTTTAAAAGTATGAAGGCGAAAACATGTAAAAGATTCGTGTACGACTACAAATTTTTTCCTCTTTTTTCTCAAAATAAATGTGCTGGTCACATTTATTATTTCGTTTTCTCCAACTGATGCACAAGTTCTTTTAGACAGGAAGAAGGTAAAATTTGAATATAGATTTCTTCTTAAAGATGAACAACTCCATTTTTTTTACTTTCTCTTTTTGAAAAATAATCAGATGAACAACTAAAAGCAGTTTAAGAATAGATAGAATAATTGTTATCAAGGAGAAAATGTTCACGAAATGGCTGACAGTGATCAACGAACAAGCAGTAATTCAGCACGTTGTTGCTCATGGAAATGTGATAATCAAATAGGTATTCTTAAATTATTAAGGGTTTTAATTTTGTTTATTAGATTTTTAGGTTTAATCGATGAGTCACATATGAAGCAAGTTTTCTATGCCAGTATCATCATTCCATTGAGCCATCTCGGATTGTTCATACAATGATCAAAATTAATGTTATATCTTACCGATCTAAGTGTCTTAAGTAAGAAACAAGTGTGGGAGATGATCAGGGATACCAGCTCCAACGTCAGAAAATCAGTAGACCTTTGAGCAAAAAAGACGCAGAAAAAGTTCTAAAAATCAGAAATTATGAATGAAGCAACAAAACAAAAACCAAGTTTCTAGAACACTAAGTAATCACATGCTCTTTGATTCGAGAAAATTTAAAATGAGGCCAACTGTCGTTCTTATTTCGCCACCTCCTTTACCTTACTAAGTTCAAAGAAGTCGACGAGTTGACTATTGAAAAAGAACTTTTTATATGTTTGTTATTTACGTATGAAAATCGAAATGATCATATGTATCTCGAACATACAGTTTACAAACCACACTAATTCTAGCTTATTTCTCTCCGAAATGCTAAAGTCAAACTTCATTTAGCTTATACGACTTTGCTTTCTACATAGTACTCCCACTAGTGGAGAACTCAGGTAATCCTTAAAATTATCCTGCTAAAACCGTGTAATATCTTATATTTTAAGAACTTAATAAGATAATCTCAGATCTTATTTAAGATTTCAATGAGATTTGACGTCTCAACTAAACTCGAAGATCCAGTTCAGCTTTTCGACTTTTGAAATATTCTCTTGAATTCTCTTTCGGCTCCCTATAAAAAAAGATTAATATGGCAGAGCCTGCTAACAAGCCTGCACATTCAGTTCCAGCAGGCAAAATTCTCACGAGCAGACCTGTGCAGGTCTGCAGGGA